AATATATTATGTGTTCTCAATCATAACGCCCCTTTGAAATAATATATATTCCAAAAATTTAATTTGGAAGTCTTCGAAATTCATTTTCGGACTGTTATCCGTTAAATTACCAGTACCGGAAATTTGGGCTTCATTTGACCAATCGGTCAACTCCGGGTCTTTCCATGGCCCAGATGAAATATCCACCACTATATATTTATTATCTAGACCAAGATGAATAAAATATATAGTCTCGGAGATGTCGGGCCGCCCCCCCGCTCCCGGTGTGGGTCTCACGTGCAATTTACTATTCATGCGAAAGAAATAATAAAAATTTACAACTTCGTAATTTCATTAATCCTTTAATAAGGTTCAATACATTATTTACATAAAAGTAAATATATTTGGGGACGGTGTTACAGGCAGCATTCATGGACTTGATGAACCGGGTGTTTAGTGAATACTTAGATCAATTTGTGATAGTATTCATTGATGATATCTTGATATATTCCAAGAGTGAGGAGGAGCACGAACATCATTTGAGGCTTATACTTGATCGGCTAAGGGAAAAACAACTCTTTGCCAAGTTCTCTAAATGCGAATTTTGGCTCAAGGAGATTGGTTTTCTCGGTCACGTCATATCTGGTTCGGGCGTAGCTGTGGATAACGCCAAAATAAAAGCTATCATGGATTGGGAGAGGCCCAAGAATGTGAAAGAGATACGTAGTTTCCTTGGCTTAGCGGGATACTATCGTAAATTTGTTGAAAAATTCTCCGTATTGGCGTCTCCATTAACGAAGCTCACAAAGAAAGGGGCCAAGTTCATATGGGACGACAAGTGTGAGAAAGGGTTCCTTGAACTGAAGAAACGACTTACCGAAGCACCAGTCCTCGCCCTACCCATACAGGGGATATGGTATGATATTTACAGCGATGCTAGCATCCAAGGGCTTGGATGTGTACTGATGCAAAACGGTAAGGTGGTTGCCTATGCTTCAAGGCAATTGAGAAAGCACGAGGTGAACTACCCTACCCATGACCTAGAATTGGGGGCGGTAGTGTTTGCACTAAAAATTTATACAGATCATAAGAGCTTGAAGTATGTATTCACTCAAAAAGAGTTGAATATGAGGCTGAGGAGATGGATGGAGTTGATCAAGGACTATGACTTGATCATCGACTATCATCCCGGAAAGGCCAATGTAGTGGCCGACGCACTGAGCAGGAAGAGTACGTCAGGGACATTACTTACTTGTCTGCGGGCATTGAGGGCACTCGTGGAGGTGTCCACACGCGGGGCTCTCATTGCTCAATTTGAGGTTAGGCCCACCCTATTGGGCGAGATTAGTCGAAGTCAGGCCATTGATGAGGAATGTCAGAGGATCCGTGAAAAGGATCCTTGAGGGGCCCGTTGAGAATTTTCGGGTACGTGATGACGGTCTTTTGATGTTTAAAGATCGTGTGTGCATACCAAAGGATGAGGAGTTCCAGTAGTCTATACTTGAGGAGGCTCATTCTTCAGCATATGCTATGCATCCAGGAGGTACTAAGATGTACCGAGATTTGAAGGAAAGTTACTGGTGGTCAGGCATGAAGAGAGACATCGCCGAGTATGTGAGTCGATGCCTTATTTGTCAGCAAGTTAAGGCGGAACATCAGCACCCGGCAGGGCTTTTGCAACCACTCACCATCCCAGAGTGGAAGTGGGAGCACGTGACCATGGACTTCGTGGTGGGGCTGCCACGAACAGTGAACAACTATGACGCAGTATGTGTAGTGGTTGATAGGCTCACCAAGAGTGCTCACTTTTTGCCTATCAACATTACTTATCCTCTTGAAAGATTGGCCAAGCTCTACACGGAGGAAATTGTGAGATTACATGGAGTCCCGATATCCATTGTCTCGGATAGGGATCCACGATTCACATCCCGATTTTGGCCAAAGTTTCAAGCATCATTGGGTACTAAACTGAAGTTTAGCACAGCTTTTCACCCACAGACGGATGGACAGTCCGAACGGGTGATACAGATTTTGGAAGACATGCTTAGGGCATGTGCTCTGGAGTTCCAAGGAAGCTGGGACAAGCATTTGGCTCTGGTAGAGTTTGCTTATAACAACAGTTATCAAGCAAGTATCGGCATGCCTCCATACGAGACATTGTATGGGAGGAAATGCAGAACACCGTTGTGTTGGGATGAGGTTGGCGAGGCCAAACTCGAAGGGATAGAGCTGGTTGAGATCACCAAGGCTAAGGTAAGGATCATTCGGGATAGATTGAAGGCTGCTCAGGACCGACAGAAGAGTTATGCTGATAAACGGCGGAGACCGTTGGAGTTCGAAGTCGGTGATGAGGTCTTCCTAAGGATTTCTCCTTGGAAGGGCATCATTCGATTTGTATCGAGGGGAAAGCTTAACCCCCGATACATTAGTCCATTTGAAATCCTTGAAAGGATTGGAGCCGTGACTTATCGTCTCAAGTTAACGCCGGAACTTGAGAAGATACATGATGTGTTTCATGTATCAATGCTCAAGAAGTACATACGAGACCCATCTCATATTCTTGAGAACCCACCGGTAGAGATCCGTGAAGACGTGCAATATGCGGTGGAACCAGTGAAGATTGTTGGTCAACAAGTGAAGAAGCTTAGGAATAAGGAGATTCCTATGGTAAAGGTTCTTTGGAGGAGTGATCGAGTCGAAGAAGAAACGTGGGAGACCGAAGTCTCAATGATTATAAAACCTTGTTAGGAACTTGTGAAAGGTATTTCAAGTGATTTCACAAAGTTGGAAAAGTCGCCGGAGTTGTCGCCGGAGTTGTCGCCGGAGTTTCACCGGAGTTCAACCAAGAAGGGTAGAACTTCATAACGCTAGTTCAAGGTGAGTGGACGGCTTAATATCTTATAACTTTTGGGTTAATTATGAGATTACCTAAATAAATGTTATATGAGTTCATAATAATGTTTAAAAGATATTTAAACATGTGATTAGCCAATAGGGTTAAGTTTGTATGAAAGAAATTAATTGTTGATGCATGGAATATGATATGAAGAATTATATGAAATGCATATTTGCTTGAAGTATATTAGAAGCACAAATGAATATTATTAACTTAATTACATGATGATTAAGTTGATACACACAAGGCATGAAATGGCGGTCAGAAAACGTGGACCGAAGAACAAAGGATTTAATTAATACCGGTTGGTATTAATTAATTATAAATCTATATGAATGCATGGTTTGCATGGATTGTGATACATAAGATTTATGTATTGGATTAGTTATGAGTAACTAAGTATGATATAGACTCTATCTAGGTTGATAGGAGGTTGATCATAGGAAAAACTTGGTGGAGGACCTTAGTACTTAAAAGTACTTAACACTCAAACTTGGTGGAGGACCCTAGTACTTAAAAAGTACTTAACACTCAAAACTTGGTGGAGGACCCTAGTACTTAAAAGTACTTAACACTCAAACTTGGTGGAGAACCCTAGTACCTAAAAGTACTTAACACTCAAAACTTGGTGGAGGACCCTAGGACTTAAAGTCCTTAACACTCAAACTTGGTGGAGGACCCTAGTACTTAAAAGTACTTAACACTCAAAACTTGGTGGAGGACCCTAGTACTTAAAAGTACTTAACACTCAAAACTTGGTGGAGGACCCTAGGACTTATGAGTCCTTAACACTCACAAACCGGTGGAGTATCCAAGGATTATGATCCTAAAACTCATAGATTATGATATACAAATAGGGACAAGGAGGAGTCCTATACACTCATAGGTATATGAGTGGGTTGGGGTTGTTAGTCAAGAATATTGACTATTACTATTTTTCCCAAATAAAATGGTGATCTATGGATCAGATATTTTCCAAGTATATATATATATACTAATAAGTATTTCATAACTTGGGGGAAAGACTATTTATTTAAGTATCACCCTATGTTTGGGTCTTATACTTGAAACGCTAGTTATTCTATATTTAGCCTGCTACTCGCTCGGTACTTGTACTGACCCCTTCGGGGGCCCCCACCATTTTCAGGTTGAAGCTAGGGCTTGCTACCTGCACCTTTCTACGGGTGACATCAAGTCAAGGAAGACGTGGTTCGTGCTTCCTCATTTCCTTTCAAATTACTAAACATTGCTCATGGATATTTTTATTTGTTATAAACTATTTTTGGGACTTGCATGCCCATGTTGTTGGCCGGTTGTGGCTTATGACTTACCGTTGAATATTTCCGCTATTCATTGGTTTAAATGCGATGTTGTTACGTATGTTTACTACTGAGTATGGATGGTTTATATTCTCGAACGCCTTGTGTAATTAAGTGAGGTTGACTCGCGGGTGACGTCACTTGATTATACGGCGGTTGTACACGCGCTTGGATTGCGGTCTGGGGCGTGACAACAGGCGGCCAGCGAGAGTCGTGCGGTTTGGTCGTGGCGACGATTACCGTAAAACAAATATAGTAAGCAGTTTTGGATCATGATCTTGCTCGGGTTATAGACTCCTCGCTTGTGCCACTGGTTTCGATTGGTTTAGGTAAGCATGGATTCCGGGTTCATTCGGGCTATAATAATAGGGATTAAGAAGATACCAGTGGAAATTGTGGTGATGGGTTTGCAAGGAATGTTTCAAGATGAAGGGTTGATGATTCATCCCCTCCCGAGCCACCGTCGAGGATGATATTTGAAGCATGAATTTGGTTGCTCTGTCAGTTTATTTTATTAATTTTCGTGTTACTCCACGGTCAAACTATTATGTTTTGTTTTTACTCCTTTTTCTGCTGTAAAACTCTTGCATTAGGTTTGGGGGTTGAGAGGTTTACGGTAATCGTCGTTAGCTTTAATTTGCCCAAGTTAGGGCTACCGAGTTATATTGTTTTGTCAAATGTGATTAACTCAGAGTCTCGGCCAAGGATGAGTGGTTACATGTGGTCCTTTCACATTCTTGTACTCGTGCTGAATGCTATTTTGCTATAAGCCTCTTATAGCAAAAAAAACTATCCAAATTTAATCTATTTCGTCTGAATTGGCCTGGTTTGAAAAGGAAACCATTGCATAGATAGAGAAGGTGGAGGTGAAGGAAATATAGCGGCTAGGGTTTTAGGATGCCGAGTTTCAACAAGGTGCAGAAACAAAGGCGAGCGGCAATCGCTGAACGAAAGAGAGCGATTTTCGGTGATCCCTTCACCGGAAAGATTAAACAGAAACCCCAGCCACTTTCGATTTCCGGGAAGCGCAAGCGCAAGATCTTCAAAAAATGGCGAAAGGTTAGTTTTTTCTTCACTACTTCTCAATTATGAGTTCATATGGCGTATAAACAAGCAAAACCTAGATAGAAGAGTATGAGTAGTAACGTCTCAAGGTCGATGGCAGAGCCTTATTAGTCCATTGAAAATAGTTTTCAAATAAGTAAGATATAAATTGATGCTGGGTCGAACTAAATGGTTCGTTCAGTTCACAATCAACGCCCGATTGACATTTCAAACTGGAATATTAGGGATTTTTGTTAAGGGTTGTATGGTTGAAATGGCAGTCTCGGTGTCTTTTGAAAGAAGACGTATTCCGACTGCCTCCATTATAGGCAAATAAGCAGTAAGCCGGAAAAAACCATATATTTCTACCAACCAGAGTCTCAATTTTTTTTATTAGTATTGTCATCACACATATACAGGATGCTTTTCCAATAAAAGAGTTCTTTCTGGGCTTATTGGATGTCCATGTTTGCCAAATTGATGTCCATGTTTGCCAAATTGACACCGTGTGGCGCATCGTTGGCTTATTAGAGCCATCAGCCATTGGATATCAAATTTAATGCACGAGACTGGTTCTCACTTTTCACTTGCATAACATGAAAGCTGAATGACAGATGTTCTAATGCTGGCTTATGGTGGGTCTGCTTATGAAGTACAAAACTTGTAACTTATTACTATAGAAAAACACTTCTCGGTTTGCACACCTTAAAACTTTCAATTGAAGTTTTGATGTATGGTGGTGAACAGGAGCAAAAGGAGGCTCTGGGGAAGGGCTTAATCACGATGGAAGATGTTGAAATGGCTGTTGCTGATGGTGTGTTTCTATGTCTCTAAGATATTGTTACGACATGCCTACGCGGCTGTGTCAGCTGAAAAACAATCTAACTTCTTCCATGTTTTAATCAAATCAGGGAAGGTTGGAGAAGCCAACAAGAACCCCAGGAATTTCCACTTAAAGAAGAGCTCAAAACTCAAATTGAAGCAGCTTAAGAAGAAGAAAGGTGAATTACTAAACTTTGGTTTTACGTACTTGGTGTCTGTTTGGAAGTGCTATTTGGATGAGATTGCGGAGTTGTATAAGGAAAAGTATTTGGTAAAATCCATTTCAGCAAAATGAACAAGTCAAAACTACTTATTTAGCAGATTGTGGCTAACAAACAGAGATTGCACTGAAAGTTTGCTTGTGTAAAAATGTTTTTATTTTTACAGGCAAGAGCAAATCAAAATCCCATAAACAAACGGAAGGAACTTCTGGGAATGCAATGGAAGAGTAAATTGCAAAATTTGTATGTCAGATTTTGTATGTCAGGGGTGTATTGTATTAGGATTTAGTGGCAAAATTTTAAAAGTCCATGGATTTTAAAAGTTTAGGTGTATTCAATGTGGACTTTTAAAAGTCCACAAAAGTCTAGGTGTATTCAATTCGGACTTTTAAAAGTCTATAAAAGTCTAGGCGTATTCAAATTTCCGTTCATTCTTATTGACTTCTAAAATCATGGATTCTCGTGGACTTTTAACTCATTTTTAGTGCAAAAATTCTCTACAATTGTCTCTTCTCCTCACCAAAGATTTCCGTGGACTTTTCTTATATCGGTTCTTCATCCCGTCCCACCCCATTCCTCCCCTCCCTCCTAGGGATGGACCGGGCCAGACCCGGTTCCTGTTCCGAGTCGGGCCCGGCTGGGCTTGGAATTTTTTGGGTAAGGCCCGGGACCAGCCCGGGAGTCTACCGGTATCGGGCCGGGCCCGTTCCGGGTATGGCCGGGCCAGTTCCGGGTTGGGCCGGACTGGTTCATTTTTTTCGATTTTCTTATATATTCCAACCCTCACCCCCCAAACTCCTCCAAAACACCCAGCCTACCTACCATAGGCCCAACCCCCCCCCCCCCCCACCCAAAAAAAAAACAAATAAGGCCCGGACCGGGCTGGTCCTCAAATATGCAGTTCTGGAACCGCCCCAATTAATCCCCCCTGGTCGGGCCTAGGCCCGGTACCGGTACCGATCCAACGGGCCGGGTCGGACCCGCACAGTGGCGGGCCGGGCCGGGCCGGGTCCCGATCCAGTCAGACCGGCCTCGGGCCAAGCCTACTCCCCCCCCCTCCCCCAACTCTACTCTTCTTTAGCCAAGCCACACCTTCCTCTTCAATCTTTCTTCTTTTTCTTCTTCAACCCAGCTCGCCCACCCCTCTCCTTCCATTCTTCTTCTTCTTCTTCTTTAACTTGCCGTCCCTAGTCCACCCCCCTCAATTCAGTAATCCTATATTGATTCGATTCTAGAAGTTTATAGAAGAACCGATATAAGAATCAATAGTATTACATCAATGCAATTCTGATACGTCATCAGTTAACCATTAAGAAAATAAATATTTTAACTATCACTTTCTTTCATCGTTAAATCGCTTAACACATAAAAATATAATTTCAAATTAATAAATATATAACCATAAATAGATATACAAGTTTGTACAAGATAGAAGTTAAAAGAAAACAATCACTAAGTAGAAAAGCTCGATTGCATTTATGCTTGTACCACATGTAGCAATGAGTGTAACGCTTGTGTAACGGATTAATGTTCTTAATCATTAATAAAATGGCCAAAATTCTCGAGCATTTTTGAAACTTTGAGTTGTTTTTAATAAAAATAAATTTGAATTCTTATGCTTCATTTATTTTTGTAGAACTTTGTCTTGCTATTTGAATTACATTTTTTCATTTATTTATTTATTTATTTATTTATTTATTTATTTATTTATTTATTTATTTATTTATTTATTTATTTATTTATTTATTTATTCATTTATTTATTTATTTATTTACTTACTTACTTACTTATTTATTTCTTATCGTACTCCGTATTATATAGAGGAAATCACTCACGGTAGGACTAAAACATAGCATTATTCTTAAAGTATGATTAAATGTTTGGTTTTTCTTAAATGGGAATAAATATTACATATTCACCCCTAATTTAATTAATTAATTAATATAATTAATTGTCCCTAGTTCCCTTTCAGAACCAAAGCCATTTTGTTGGTGACGCGTCAGTCCGATGACGACAGCGGGGAACTCCGGTGATGGATGCGGACAGGTCACAGGCATATCGGTAGCGACAATCTAGGTGAAAATTTTGACGACCAGCAGTGGTGGTCCGCATTTAAAAGTCTATGGACTTTTTGAAGGTCAATAAACTTATTCATGGATTTAAAAGTCCATAGAATTCATTCATAAAAAAGTCTATGGATTTAAAAGTCCATTGACTTTTTTAAAAGTTCATGGATTAAAAAAAGTCCACAACAATCCAAATTGAATACACCCCCCTTGGTGTTTGGTGTATTCCTTCCCCATGGCAGCAAGCGCCGCCGCGGCGAGAAGCTCCAGCAAGAAAGAATATTCCGTTTGTTTAAGTTAAACAAACGGAATCTTGTACAATCTATCAACAACTGTAGTTGGACAATGTTGTGTTTTATAGTGATTTGAGATTCTGATTCACTTTTATGTCTCTTTTTCTTTGGACTCTGAAATCAGTGAAATGCCGGTTTAATGATTCCACTAAATCTGTGCTCTTTTCAGTTGCATCTTGCCTGAGAATCAATTTCAGGAACTTAATTGCTTGATAAAAACTTCAACCTGATCTGTGTTTATGTTTTTTTGCTTCGACGGAAAGGAGTTTTGGTTTTTCAAGATAAATAATCCGAACTATTAGCCGTCTTCCAAGATTAATCCCAACTATTGAATATTCTATAATAATCTAAATTATCAGGGGCATCTTCTCTAAACAATCTGGGCATCTTCTCTAAACAATCTGGTGACCTGCATCAACCTAATAAACATGTCACTTTGACACGTGTCATAATTTTATTGGTGTGAATATAATATTTTTGTTTTACTTTATTTTTTCTCTCCTTGTGTGTTTTTTTAACCATGGCCATCGACTCTAAAAAAAAACATGGCAATCGTGCTAAGCGAGGAGCCCAGGAGACCATAGAAGAATTGGCATCAACGGTAAGAGGAATGGTCGGAGCACCGAACAATACCGATGCTTCCAGCAATCCAGCGGTATTCAAGGTCATCTCTTCTGTTCTTCTTTCTCATCCCTTCTTCCAGCAAGCTCCATCTTCTTCAAAAAGAAAAAAAATCACCCAATCACAATTTAATTAATTTCTGGACTATAATTTACTTAGTATATATATAATGTAAATAAACAAATACTAGCACTGGTACAAACAAAAAAGGGTATTGGGGGAAGGGCAGTGATGAATCTAGAGCAGGGGGCGCAGGGCCAGGAGGACCGATGTAGAGTAGCAGTGGTGCTCGAATGACGTGGCCTGCGGTCAGAAGTAAAATAAGGGCTATGACACTGTGGCTGCAACCGTTCAAAAAACCTATGGAAACTCACGCACCGGTTCTACTCCGACTGCTGGCGGTGGTGGATGGGTCAGTCATCACATCTTCTTAGAAGAAGAGTGAAGCGGAAGATAAGTGTGGTGGTATTCGTCTTAGTTGCCTACCTTGCGAATTTCCATTTAAGATGTTCGATTGCAAAAGCAAGAAGATGAATAGTGTTCTTTTCAATTTTACTGGCTAAATAGGTCACGGGTGAATTGGATCAAGGGGAGAAGACTGTCATTGAATTTGGGATTATATTAGAATTATCAATATTTGGGATTAATATGGGAAGACTCTTGATAGTTTGGATTATTCATGTGAATTTTTCCTTTCTTTTATTTCAACTAAAGTTGATTAGAGTAGTCAGCTACTCCAAAAGATTGTAAAATATACTACCTATATGTCAATTTTCAGCAACACACTTGCATATCATATAAAATTTAAAAGTGATATTTTTATGAGATGGCTGTACCGGACTGAATTTTACATTTTTACGACACTTTTCATAATTTCATCCAAGAAAAATTAAAAATTCCAATAACATAAGTGAAAAATAGGGATATACACATTGATTTTGTTTAATTGAAGCGTACCAAATTGAATTAAATCAAAATGAAAACAGATCATATGCAACTTGGTTTGAGTTTGGTAACATTTCTTTTAACCTATATTAACTCGAGTCGAACTGAAACCGAAGAAATTGAACAAAATCGAATTGAACTAAATTAATTCAACAAAACTCATGTGTTATTACTTATTAATAAATAAAAAAACCCGAATCAAATCGAACCGAATTAAATCAACCAAACCGAAAAATAGTACTCCCTCCATAAGTCCATCCCTTGGTTAAGTTTCTAGTTTGACTTCACGGATTTTAAGGTAGAATATGAACTAAAATTGATTTTCCATAGGTAATTTAAAGATGTTGTACTCAATTGGGTAAAATAAAGAGGTAAATGAATAATGAAATATGGACATCAATTCAAAGAAGTGATGTGACTAGGCCTGGACTCGGGCCGGTTCGGGCCCGGTTCGGGCCTGGGCCCGGCCGGGCCAGGAAATGGGAGGCCCGGGCCCGAACCGCCGGTGGCCGGTTCCGGTCCCGGTTCCGGGCCAAACCGGGCCGGGCCGAACCGGCCCACTTAATTTTTTTTTGTTCTCCTATTTAATCCCCTACCCCTCCCCCTCAACTCCAAACCACCTCAAATGGCCCAAAATACCTATTCCAACCCAAAACTTTAAAAAAATTTCAAAAAAAAAAAAAAAAAAAAAAATTAAAATCCGATCCGGACCGGGCCCAAACCGGCCGGGCCGGTTCACCATTTGGAAGGCCCGGGCCCGGAACCGGGAACCATCGGGCCGGTTCGACCCGAACCGCCGGTGGACCAGGCCACCGGGCCGGGCCGGTTGCTACAGTGGCCGGGCCGGGCCGGTTCCGGGTCGGGCCGCCCGGCCCGAGTCCAGGCCTAGATGTGACTTGTGAGGGTAAAAATATACTCCCTCCGTAACTTTAAAATCTTCTCATTTTAAAAGTAGGTAGATTAAGAATAGTGAAAGATGATATAAATTATTGAGGATATAATGAGAAAATAGTGGAGTAATATGGTAGAATGTAAGATAAATCCAAAAAAGTAGTTGTAATAGTATATTATTTTAAGAATTATTAAGAATATGATGAGAAGATTTAGAAATGTGAAGACTTTTTTGTTACACAAAAAAAGAAAAGTGAGAAAATTTTAAAGTTATGGAAGTAGTAAATAAATAATAAAACTTGCCAAATATAGAAAGAAGTTGAAGTAAGAACTTATTTTGAAACATCTCCAAACAGAGAAGTGAAACTAATCTCGAGAAAGAGGGAGTAAGATTTTTGTTTAGTTAAATTCCAATCCATTCCCGACCAAACCAAAGCTGATAAAAACTTTACCAAAAATCTATATGTCCACGGTCCACCTTTAATAAAAAAGAGATAAATGACACTATATGGGTTGATATCATTTTTGTAATTTATATAGGCATTTTAAAATAATCTATATAATCCTAGGAGACGAGCAAATTTGACCGTTTTATGTCTAGGCCGCTTTTACTCTAACAACAACATACCAAGAGCTAGAAGGAAAAATCTTGCAAACAAAAGATAGAAGGAAAAAAAGAACCTTCACTTCGCTTTGATTTTTTAACATATCATAAAATAAGGGAAAAAGGACAAATAAGCCCACATACTAACAAAAAAAGGTCAAATAAACCCTTATAGGAGGTTCTGTCCGATCGCCGCCAATTGGGGCAATTCCCTGTGAAATTTTTTGAGCATCTTATAAGTCTAGTTTACTCATACCAAATTTCAGTTAACAATTCAATCAGGAAGGCATTCAAATGAATTCGTGAAGATGACTGTGCTTCTAATTCCGCAGTTATCTTCAAGAATACATTTGAATGCCTTCTCGATTGAAGATTTAGTTGAAATTTGGTATGAGTAAACTAGACTTAATGAGTAAGATGCTAAAAAAAATTCATCAAAAGATTCCACCGGGAACCGCCCCAAATGGCGACGGCCGGACAGAGCCTCCTATATAAGGGCTTATTTGACCTTCTTTTTGTTAGTATGTGGGCTTATTTGACCCTTTTCTCTAAAATCAATCACACTGTTAAACTGGCCATTTCAACTACACAACACAAATCCAGGCTCTATTTCTTATCTTAAAATCGAAGTGAGCTAATAATACATAACGGCTTAAGCATTCCCCAGTTTCCTTCAGTCCGCATGATATCTCCGTTTAGCTCAAATTAGAATGAAATAACAGACAAATGACTACCTCCTGAACATGCCTGAATTTTGGAGGGTTTTACAATAGTCTAAAATAATAGAGGATGATTTAACAAGATCCCATATCTTAGCAGAGTTTTTCAGCCAGTCACGTTCAGACACAGTCCTTGAGAATGATGGACCATTCATGGACAAAACCTGAAGAATATAGTATAAACTTGTTACATAGACGAGTCCTTCCCCAAGTTCCTAAATCACACCATTCATCAATGAGGAGGTAGATGAACAGTGGATATCTAATGGGAGAGAAATCATAAAGAAGAAAGTAACGACAGGAAAGCAAACCCCAACATTATCTACCATTAGAATCCATTTGTTTTAGTGGGGGATGGGAATCCTACTCGCAAAAATATTAAATGCTCATGTTTGTTGGTGGGGATTGGGCATGTGATTACATGCCATGTGAATTCCAAAGAGAAGAATGCTTATGGGGAGACATGCGTTTAAGATATTTCAACGGAGTTTGCAAGAAACAATGCAAGTAATGATGAGGATTAAAAGGAAATTTTGATTATAATAACTCAACACTTTTCTTCTCGATGTAAAAGTCTCTCCTAACCTTTCCAAACACCCTCAAGTAACAAACCATTTTTAGAGTGAAAATACTTTAGCAAAAATCAATCCGACATGAAAGTTTTAATAGAGTGTACTCATATCGGAAGAACTGGGAAAAGTTGAATTATTAGAATCATTTTTTCCTTCAAAGAAATTGCATTGATCCCATGAATTCTACATCCCACCATCCAAACCCTTTTCTAATTCCCACTAATCAAACACCTCATGCATGGGTGGAAACCATCTCCCTTTAGAAAGCTTCTTTCTCCACACAAGAAAACCATTGCACACATTTGAGAAAACCAGAAGTGCTCCATATGCAGTGAGCCAGTGATGACCCGACCACTGAAGTTTTATCATGTGTAATTTGTGGGCCACTTGAACAACTAGGGGTAAGGGGTCCACTTAAATATCCTGATGATCCACAAATTGCAAAAGTGACAAAACTTCAATGGTTGATACATCAAGGGTCTGTTATGAGTTCATATAATGCTAGGAAAGAAAAAAGGGAAGAAAACTCTGGGAAAATCTGGAAGACAAGGAAATATTGATGAAAATAAAATATTTTTCAAACTCAATAGGTTTACACATATTATCTGTTCATCTCATTTTTTATAATTTATTGTATTATATAAAATATAAATCCTACGAAATCTAAATATACATACAGAGATGAGAAACATTTCTGAGGTAAAACCAAATATAACAAAATAATTTCCCTTTCCATTTACGTTTCCCTTTCCTTTCCTTCACCTAGCATCACGGGGTCTGAAGATAGCCTAAATGATCAGTGTTTCTGAAGATCTGTAATGACTTCGGTAATAATAGATTCTGATTCATTTTGATTGAGTGCAATAGAGAGAGAAACCTGATCTCGAAGTTTCCACAAGGCTGATGCATAGCTTTCATACTGGGCTTTTAAGGCATTGTCTTTGTGCTTTGATGGAAGGAGGAATACTTTCAGCAACTGAGAGTCCATATTGCTACTTTGGGAGTTGACATGCAGAGAAATATTAGTGTCTTTTGACTTCATAAAGGAAGAACCACTGAAAAACTGTGGCAATGCTTTCCTCAACTGAGACAGAGTATGGGGAGTAAGATCCTCCTTACGTAACCTGAAAATGAGGTGAGACCGTGAGAGCATTAACAATAAAATTCGACTTTCAATTTTTGCATACTTATATTGGTAATGGTAAAGGTTAATCAAGGTTATTCGACTTTCATTGATTAATCTTTACCATCAAGTTTGTATAGCTTTAACAGTCATGGTAAAGGTTAATCAATGTTGACCCACTTTGTATGGACAAATACTGGAGTGGCCATGTATTCATCACCCGCTTCTCCAGTTTTATCTTTGATTTCTTTTTCTGAGAGAAAACTAGAGCTTTGAGGATGGGAGAGTGATAGAGATGATGGGTCTGGTATGCCATGTTTTAGCAAGTCCACCTGCAACCCAAAGTATGAGAAAACAAAAGAAACCATTAAACTTTTTGCAAGGGGTATTTGCATGAAATGGGTGAATCTTCTGGGAAAAGAAGCAGTAACTTCCACATCAGCCAAATATGCAAGTCAAAAGCTACTTAATCACGTAACTTTTAAAGACAGAACGAGTGAGATAAGCCTGCTGAACAGAGACTAAGAAGACAGGTTTAAAATTTCAACAAGAAAAAGAACAAATGCCTCAAATAAAACAGGAGGAAAGATGCAGTCAAAAAATGTTGAGGAAAACCTTACTCCACATTTGTCCATAAGGTTAGATAAGTAAAATTTATCTTTAGGACTAACATATCCTCATTTGTAAGCATTTTATAAAACTTCATCGTGCTACATTCAAAAGCATTTTGGATTTTTAAAAAATCCAAAATTTTGTAAAAAAGGGAACTAAAGTGAAACTAATCAAAGTTGAGAAGGAAAAGTGGAAATGGCACACCATAATTGAGAAAACCAAATATTTGTTTCTGTGTGATAACATATCCTCATTTGTAAGCATTTTATAAAACTTCATCGTGCTACATTCAAAAGCATTTTGGATTTTTAAAAAATCCAAAATTTTGTAAAAAAGGGAACTAAAGTGAAACTAATCAAAGTTGAGAAGGAAAAGTGGAAATGGCACACCATAATTGAGAAAACCAAATATTTGTTTCTGTGTGATAACAATCCGTCAAGCCAATGGAAATGCCCAGATAGGAAGTTTTAGAAGAAATCCAATGGAATTCTAAAGCAGTACAACTGTACAAAGCTGGTAGATTATAATACCGTGGACATTAACTGCCACATGCTCAAATTGTGAACACCTTCTGATACCACAATGATAATGTGACAAATGGATGAAAGATACACACCAAGCTATAGAAATCCCTTGCATGAACACAAAAGAGATAAAGAGTAATAATTGATTATAGTATTAATCAATTCAGCGTTAACAGTAAGAGAACATTATGAAGAAAATAATGTTGGTTTGGAGCTCAGAAAAGACTAGGGGAAAAGGGGGAGTGGGGACTGGGGATTGAGATTAAATTTGAAAGGAAAGAAACTGTCAGGGGAAAATTGATTCAAACTCAATAGTCCAATTTGGGTTTTGTTTAAACTCATCTAATTATAATATTCCATTAAACAAAGACTACAACACAACAACATCATCCAAGACTTGGTCCCAAAAGATTTTGGGGTCAGCCATTACAACACATCTAAACTTTTGAATTTTTTTAACAATTTTCTATTTAACTTCATATTTTCCAAGTTAAAACCAGATATAACAAAAGAAAACATTTTCCTTCCCCTACCATTTTCCGAGCTCCAAACATAGCCTAGATGAGATAACAAGATTTCTGACAACAAATATGACATGCAACTTGGCTGATACCTGGATACTCATAAGTTCATGAGCCAGCTCAGCAGAAAGGGATTCACCAGCTATCACAGAGATGGTGGACGAGCCATCTGGCCTTATTATGTCAGCTAAAAGTGATGGACTATAAACAGGCTGCATGCAACTATACCATTAATCCATTATAATAGTTCTCATTGAAATGTAATGTGTAGTATAAAGTTCTCTAAACTTAGGATTTTTTCTCTGATACTTCCTCCAAGAAAAAGAATATATGAAGGAGTAAAAGAAACAATAAAACAGATTGCTACTAAGCAATGATTTAGAACCTGAGCATCAAGGAGAATAATCCGCTCAGATGAAACCCGAGCTTCAATTCCAGCAGTGCAATGCTTAGCCATTGCTCTTGTTTCTTCTGATTGTATTGCAAACAGAGGGAGGATTCCTATTCAATAGAAAGCAAATCAAAAAATTGAAGATCCCTTTTAATGCTGTTTTAAGACATAGCAAACACTATCACTGGAATTTATTCTTGTTTTGGTTCCGCAAATTCTCACAAGCCCCATTAGGCCTTACTAAGACCAATAAAGCACTAAGACCTAGTCTGTCACCTAGAGAGGACGTCTCTTGCTTTTTAAATCATTTCTATTCCTGAGTACTTAATAGACTTCACAAATCTACAAAAGTTGCGTACCAGCAGAGTTAGAATCCAATCCATAAATTTCATTCATTATGGTCGACTTTCCCACCCCTGGCGGGCCAATCACCCCCACCACAGTAAAATCTGTATTATCAGTTAGAAACTGCAAAAAAACGCAAACTTTAGCAAAACTGATAAGAGAGAATTGCAGCGAGCGCACTAAATACGAGGAATGGTGCGATTACTGGGAGGAATCGATCAGCGTTGAACTCCCAGGAGTCGGAAACGAGGTTGAGAGAACCGATTGGCGGAATACGAGACCGATGCGCGGTGGGGTCATCATCAGCGCCGCCGCGATTGAATTTGCCTGAAGTAATGAGCCCAGGCTTGGCTAAGAGAATTTTGGGAGCGTGGTGTGACGCTGAAGATGCACTGCTAGCCATGGATATGCTTTCTAATCTTCACACGCGGGAAGTTCACTCAGCTGTTCCGCGAAGAAGCCAAGCCTAGGAAAATGTTTTGGGGAAGTCCAAGACTTTCCTTTGTTATTACAAAAGGGTATTATTCAAGAAGTGAAGAATTCAAATAGTATATGAAAATCGAGTTTAATTTTACAATGTTAGATTCTGTTAATTTGTATATATTGAAGAATATGTGGGAGATATATTACTTACACTAAGAATAGAAATCAATGCAACGGCACTCGTTTACTAACATGCTAGGATTATTTTTTGATTAATTGGAGCTTAAATAATGGAATATTTAGTTTGAATCTTAGTGTTTTTAGTTTGAAAATAAATGGAGTTTTTAATATTAAATAAATGCAACCATAACATACATTTTTCCAAAGGTATTAATTTTTTTTCTAATGCGTATGTTATTGACTATATTTTGTTACATAAATTTAATTTGATTAACATATCCAAGTAGTAGAAATGAATCATTGATATTAATTTTGTCTTTTCGATCAAGTGAGCAACTCTCGTATCTTATGTATATTTTTAGTGTTTTTATGTGCTACTATCTGATCATTTCATTTTTTTAAAGTGAAATGCAATAGTAAAGAGTATATTAATATTAACATCGTAATAAATGCAATATAGTTGGTGTATAGTTTAACAGATATTTTTACAATACAAGGGTGTTTAGGGATACATGTTTTTACAGAGACTAAAACTATCGTTTAGGAAATATGATTGTGAATTGTGATGTGAACTTGATAATTGTGATTAAGCCATTAAGGTTACATATGATTGCAACACAAGACAAAACAGAATACACTCAATGAGCCATTAAACAGTAGCAGGATGTTCACAAAGATGTGAGATGGAGGTAAACGATATGTAGTATTATTTTAAAAGCCTGTTAAAACAACCAATTTGAATTTAGACACAGGAACAATCTGCAACTTTATTGACTTTTTTATGTTATAAGGGGATATATAGTAATGAGAATTTTATTAGCAATAAACATTAAAAGTTATCAATCATAGCAGTTTGTGTGATCGTTCTATAAATATAGTTAACCTTGTTGTTACACAATTAAGAAGATTAAATTGTTTATAGTTGAGACTGGAAAAAATCTTAATGTTCTTGAGGATGCATTCCAAATGAGTGTGAAGGGAGAATTTTGTTTGTAGTTTAAGAGGATTGTGAGTCAATTGTTAAGCCTAGCATTTTTTATTTTATTTTATGTGCATTTGTAATTGTTTTTGGTCTGCATGAAATACCTATCTGGTGGCTAATTATTACGAGTAATTATTAATTAACCTAAACTGAAAGGGCATTATTAGTATCACATCATTAATTAACTCCACCTTTTAAGATAAATAAATAAAAGATAAAGGAGAAAAGAGAGAAAGAAGAAACTCAGAAGATTTGTGATTGACATAAACTTCTTTTAGCATATAGGAGTCACTTACATAGGGAGAAAATTGCTTTAGCATATAGCAATTGCTTACATAGGGAGATATTGGTGAAAAATACAATAACCAAGCTTCTGAATTAAAAGTCATTCTAGTTTTTAATGGTTTGAAATTGTATGTGGAATTTTTTTGAGTCTGCAACTTCTCTACAACTCTTAAAAACTCCAACTCTCAGCAGCTGCTATTCCTACTAAGGGGGACCCTACTGATTCATCAACCATTGACATTTCAACAGTACAAGTAACCATCATTAGTCCCGTAAATACGCTTCAGCTAGTGTCATTACACAATATTGTGCACAAGAAAAAAAATAACTAATGCAATAGTTGTGACTTAATAAGACTGTCTTAAGCATTATTACAAAAACATTTCTCATGACAAAGAAGAATTTGTCTAACTTCAACTCAAGAGAAGTCCAACTAATGATTGGTGCATATGAAGAACTAAGCCCTTAAGAGTATACCAATATGGCATGTATCACCCCCTTTTGAATTAAAAATATAATAATGTTTAGTTAATACGTGATACCTATATTTCACAAAAAATATCAAGAGGAACCATTTTAGTTCCTTAGACATGTTTTTGTTATAGAAAATTGACAAAAGACTTTCAAAACGTTTGGTCATTTCTGTGAATAAATATTTGAGATCGTTTGAATAAATAAAGGAACAAGTTTAAATTTACTTCCTAAAAGAAACTTATTTCCCCCCCAGAACTTGTTATATTTTAAAACTTGTAATCGAGTTAAGAGAAAGAAACAATGATCTAGACTATGTATGCGATCCTAGACTCATACAGCTTGAAATTAAACAGGTCATTCATTGTATGTCATTTGAATGAAATAAAGTATTCTAATTGTAATCCTATTAAATGTGGTCTGTAAGATGACTTGGTTTGTTACTGTTTATTTAGTTTTTTTACTTTTGTTTCGTGTTGCTAAACCAGAACTGCAATTCTCTGTTTGAACAACATATATGAAAAAATATGTGTATGTTCTTGTGAAAAATTAGAAAGTGGTTAAGGCATTTTGTAGAACATATAGTGGACATTCATGAAATCCTTGACTGGGAAAATTACTTGTTTATTGAAGTTGCTACCTAGTTGGACTGGGAAAGAAGTCCAAATATATCTTTCAAACGTACCTGAAAAGTATTTAACGTAACCATTATGCTTATATGCCTTTGTAGTTTTTTTTAAAGTGCCTTTCTAGTTATATAGTGTACTCTGTTTACAATATAAAAAATACTATCGTAAGAAATATATACCTTAGCTTTATGCTATACTCGATTTACTTTAAAACCATAAAATTAGTGATCTTAAGTAAAAACACTTTTTTTAATGTTACGTTGAACTTGTATGTTCTTGAACCGTAACATATAAACTATAAAGTGCCACATATTTGTCATAAAAACCAACAGATAGTAGGCATTTTTAACACCAAATGAACTCCTTGTATCACATAATTTATATTGGAAACATATAGTAGTTGTAGCAATAGAAAGTACGTAAAAAATGATTTATGAGAAAAAAATTAACATTATAGAAGGAAAAAATGAAACTTTTGCAAAAAATTATTCTCCGTTAAAAACAAAAAATAGTTATACAATAGAAAGTATGCAAAAGATGACTTTATGAGAAAAAACTAAACATCATACAAGCAAAAGACCTCTATTGAGAATCTCATCTTAGCTTTTAGATACTCTTTTATGAAGATATTAATACGTGTTTACAAAAACATTGACCAAGGAACTGCCTAAGTAACCTAAGTGATTGTTAATTGAAGCGCTTATCATTCAATAAAAAGTGTAGTAAACTGGAAGTGTGATGTATATAATCGCATGTTATACATCACTTAGAGACTTGTTGATAAGATGCAGAAGCCGATTCTGTTAAGTGATTTTTTAAAGCCTAGATTCATTTAGAATAAATGAATTATATGAAGGATAAATGCACTGCTAATTTCATTATAAAACAAAACAGTAGGTATACATATGAGATACTACGTTTTCAATTGCAACAAGTGGATGGAATGATTTCAAAGATAAAAGTACGGAGTATGCGTATAGACAGAGTATGTGGAAATTATTTGGCATTTGTATAAATAAATGCAGAGATGGGGAAGAGATGCTTGTGATTAATCGAAGAAGTCGATTACTTGTAAAGGTGTGAGGTTGGATGGACATAGACGGAAAAAGAAGGAAGTGTAAAATGACGGGAAAAAAGTGATTTGACGGAAAAATGACTCTAATAGAATACTCTCACTAAAAATATTTTTGAATTACACTTCACCCACCTTTCATGTCTCATTTTTATTTGTTCTTTAAGATTCTTACATACTAAATTTTGTAAAATTTGCATGATTCTAGATCATTTTTACTTTATAAAAGATTTATCAATTTCATATCAATCACATAAATCCATTTGTTTAATCTATGCATGACCTTCTCATGTCCTAATATTAATGAGGTGGAGATAATAATTGACAGACGATTTAAATTAATATGCACAATTCCAGACAACTATTACATATTCAATCTATGTGTTGGAAAAAGAAATAGATTCAGCACTCCATACAAAACAAGTTGACTCGCTATATCAAAAGTTTCCAAATATCCAAATATCCCAATCATACTTACTTGAACAAAAATAAAATAAAAGCACTTCTAAACAAAAAATGACACTAAAATAAGACATCTCCACGAAGCTCCTAGTAAAACAGAAGTGATTTTGGGAGGGATGAGTTGCCACGAATCTCAACCATTTTGCACAACTCAAATGCTCCAAGACACCTCTTTTCCTCTTGAAAGTATTCTCAGCTCTCACCCATATAACATCTCCCTCTTCTTTCTTAGATCCCATTTCTCTCATTTGCTTTCGGTTACCCTCATTTTCATTTGAAGCCAGATACATCTTTTCCTATTTGGGATGAACCATCTAAGTGCGTGTGCGACCCTCCTCTACGCATGTCCACACACATCCAAGATTGGAAAAGCGATCTGTATATTATAAGTTCTAACACTCCATAAATAAAACACAAATTGGGAGGCTTCTAATACTTAAATTCTGTCTAAAATCAATTCCCACACTTTTGTCTAACCTCCTTCTCTTCAACGTGCTCTTAGTGTTAATGGAGACCTACTATGAGTATAGGAAGAATTTTCTACTCCAAGTGTACGCCTATCAATAAGAACATGAATACTACAAAATTTCAAATAACTCTAGTCACTGTCTCCATCATGAAATTCAAGTATAGACCCAACTTCATCTCTAGGGGTTTACTAACCGCTTTCACTTGCTTAATAATCATTGAATTCTGTTAAAATGCCAAGGGCGCGGCCAGCTTGGAACACTCGGTTAATATCGATGTAATGATCAAATGAATCATAAATCTTGTGTCACCTATTTCCTCAATACTAACACCTCAGCAATGGGCATCTTACCATAGTCACAACTAATTTTCCATAGCACCACAAAAGTAATTACAAAAAAAATACCAATGGAAACACTCACAAGCTTTAATCCCAAAAAATTACGAGAAAAATATCCGCAATAAAAATAAAGCAATTATAAAACAACAACAACATCCAACTATACAAGCTTTAATCTCAGAAAATTTTGTAATCGGTTAACATGAATC